GGATGCTCTCGCGGAGGTAGTCCGTATAGTGCACCTCCTTCACGCCGTCGACCATGCCCCCATAGCGCGCCTTCATCGCCACTGCTTTTTTCATAAAATCGCCCGACTCGATCACCTTGGCCGCGATCAGGGCGTCGGAGTACTTCCGGAAGAGGTTCGGCATCGCGTGGATGCGGGAGTACATCAGCGGCTGCGTGATTCGCGGGTCGTCGTTCTCGTTATGGCCGAAGCGGCGATAACACACCAGCTCGATCACGATGGAGCGGCCGAACATCGCGCGGTAGGTCGCGGCGAAGATCCCGCAGCGATAGACATCCTCCGGGGAGTCCCCGTTGACGTGGAGGATCGGGCAGCCGAAGACCCGCGCGAGGTCCGTGCAGTACAGGCTGCTCCGCCCATCCGTCGGGTTCGTCGTGAAGCCGATTTGGTTATTGCAGACGATGTGGATGGTGCCCATGGTCCCCAGCTTGGGCGTCGCGCTCAGGCCGATGGTCTCGTAGACGACGCCCTGCCCGGTAAAGGAGGCGTCGCCGTGGATCTCGACTGGGAGGACTTTGGCGGGCCCGTTCGCGCCGCGGGTGAGCTGCTCGGCCGCGGTGAAGCCCTGCACAAACGGGTTCACCGCCTCGAGGTGGGAGGGGTTGTACAACATCTCCGTCTCGATGCGCCGGCCGCTTCGCAGCTCCAGCGCGGCGCGGCAGCCCAGGTGGTATTTGACATCCGCCTGCATCTCGAACGGCCGCAGGTCGTCGCGGGTGAGGCCGATGAACTCCTTCAAAATCACCCCGAAGGGTTTGCCGATGATATTGCACAGGACGTTGAGCCGGCCGCGGTGGGCCATGCCGAGGTTGAGCTTCTCCATCCCGTAGGTCGCGCTCGTCTCCAGGATCGCGCGGAGGCCGACGATGAGGGACTCCGCCCCATCGCAGCCGAATCGCTTGTGCGTGGAGTACTTCCGCGTGAAGAAGTCCTCAAAAAAGACCGAGGCCGCGACCAAGTCCCAAATAAACCGCTTATCGTCGTTGTTGAGGGTGTAGTTCAGCAGACTATCCCCGCGCTCGAGCTCGATGTCGGTGCGAATAAACCGCATCTCGTCGTCGTAGTTGACGTGGGAGAACTCGAAGCCGATGCGCTGGCAGTACCGCCGCGTGAGCAGCTCATGCAGGCCGCGAATCGTCATCGGAGGGGAGTCGGTGCGGAAGACCCCGCCTCCCTCATCGAGAAACCCGACGTTAACCACCCGCTCCGCCTCCTCGGGGGCGAAGCCGAAGTGCGCGAGGCCGAATTCCTGCTCCCCGGTCCACCCGCCGAACCACTTCCGCGCCGCCCCGGTCTGCGGGCCCAGGCCCTCGCGCGCGTCCGCCGCGCCGGCCCCCAGGCCCCTCCACTCGTCCGCCTCCGCAAGGGGGTTCGTCTTC